GTCCTGGAGGGCCGATGTCCTGCAGAGTTTAGCTCCAACCCCAATTAGACACACCTGAACCAGCTAATCAAGCTCTTACTAGGCATACTAGAAACCTCCAGGCAGGTGTGTTGAGGCAGGTTGGAGCTAAACTCTGCAGGACATCGGCCCTCCAGGACCGAGTCTGGGCACCCCTGCATTAGAGCATTGTTCTAATGCTACCACGTTTGTGCTTACTATCTGTTGTCTGTTCTGTTAAGCCTCTATTGTCATTGCTATCATTAGTTGTGATCTACAGGATAGGACAAAGAGGAAGCCAAGAATGTGTAAATCCTAAATTGCATTGTGTTGGCCTTAGTGTGTTATCTACAAAGTTCCATACTGAGACAGAACCATCCCATTTACAGAAGTGCCCACACCCACCCTCAAATGATCAAGGCTGTCAACTGAGGTGAAATCTGTTAGCATATTCCAGTGTTTCCCATTCATTAACTAGACTGTGGCGGTCTAATCTGTCCCACCACAGTTTCATAATAAACCGAAGATATATTTATACTTCTCTTTTAACGTAAAAGTTCTTTAACCTTGTGTTTCACGCCATTGCTTTGGCAAGTATCCGTCAAACGAATTAAAACCGAAAGCGTAATATGACTTTGTTTACAGTAGTTCAATAATTTAGTAATGTTTGTAAACCTGTTTTCACAGAAGCTGGAGTTTTCCGCCAAAATAAAAGTTCAAGTTTATCTCTTGCAAGCATGGCCTAAAATTAACAGACGCGCACAGAGAAAATACTGTACAGGTACAGCAAGCTCACTGTTCGGAAGAAAAATATAAATATTGGGGTGGGGGTTTATATGAATATATTTCTGAAGGGAACTGACTTCACAAAAGCTTCAATGGCATTTTTCCCTTCTTATCACTGCTGATCCATAAGAGCCATCTGCTGTCAGAGTGAATTTGCGTTCTCATTCAGCCTGTCTGTTTTTGTTATGTGCAGGTTTTTTCTTTGTATCTTTGTTTGATTAAAATGCAGTGGTTGGTTCTAATTTCAAATGGCTTTTTTATTATTAAATATGTTTAGTTCTTGTAGTAGTAGCAACTGCCCGTGTTTTTGCAAAAACATGGCAAGGAAAAATATTTATGGCCGGTAAATTTTCTCAAGTCACCAGCCACTGGCAGATGTGAAAGTTAGTTTTAGGCCCTGCTTGCAAGTGTAGAAATTAGGACAAAAGTATTGCAATTTCCCTACTGTAGAGTAAGGTAAAATAATATACCTGAAAAAAAATATTTTTAATTTATTTCACAGTGCAATTGTTTTACAATATGTGGCTATTAGTGTCATAGGAATAATAATATAAAATTATTATTATTATTATTTTATTC